GGACGTAAAATTCCAGGCACGCACTTAATGTCATTGTGCTTGATAACGATAAGAGAATACTTATCGAAACGTCATGCTTGTGTATAATAAACCAGTGACTGTTGTACTGTGTTAGTTCTGTAATGTTTCTAATCGCTAAATGCCACTAAGGGATTATAGCTAAGATGATGATTCAAAATTTCCATGATCAATCCTTATATTAGTTATACAACAAGACATTGTCATATGTTGTGCCGCCTGTAACGGAGAGAGTTCACTGTAAAGTTGGACAAAGAAACACGAGTACAGTCAATGGGAAAATATTTGATGGTGTGCCTCCAAATGCGAGAAAATATTTGTAGTTTCTAATCTTCAGTCTATGAAACAGAGGTATTCAACTCACATGACATACTATTGTCAAAATAAAGGACAATTCAAGCCACAAATATCGCGGCAATTCACTGGCACCAATCATGTTATGGTTACCAAAACACTGGTCGTATAAAACCAGTATTTCCGTTACGGTGACCAAGCAGTATAATCACTAAATGTTGCGAACATTATGAATTACTAAAGGAGACAGTTTCATTGATATCTCGATGAATTCCAACATGTCTTGAGATAACATTAAACCACCAATAAATGCATTTCTTTGATGACTATAAAGGCGGAGCATTAACTGCCAAGGTCTGCTGTAAATCTACATGCGAAAGCTCTTAAGAATTAAGTCCGTCCAATGCCCTTTTAAATGCCAGGTCAACCTAACATTACTCTGTCTAAAGAAATAAACAATAAAATGAACTCATATCTTTTATTGGAACTTATCGCAAATAATCGAATATCCAATTCCTCTAAAGAAGATATTTACTTGATCTAAATTCTGCAAATAATGATTTTTATTTTCTGGTGAATTGAACCAACAGTTACCAAATCTGGAATATAATGAAATCAAGCTGTAATCACTGAAGTCGAAATAAATAATTTTGAACAATTCCCCCAGACAGCTCACTAGGGAATCAAACCGCCGTTTTCGTCACTTTTTGACTGCTTGACAAAGTGACGCACAGACTGTTATGGATTTTCTCATTTATTGATGCTCCCATTTCCCCTCATTTCTGTGAATTGAACGCCTGTAACTCGATTGGTAAATATTAGATATTAAATATAAATATTAATAGTTCAACTCATGGTGTGTGTGTAAATTACCGTCATTATATTGGATAATTATTTAACGTTTTAGCTTGGTCATGCCTGATAAAATCTAATTATTTAACATTTTCGCTTGGGCATGCCAGGCGTGATTAGGGCTCCTCTTAGCTAATGCATCGTCGTTATATTTTTCTACTCTGTTGCTGATTGTACCTGAAGAAGGATTTATGAGTGCAAATATTGTTTTGGTTTTTTTTTACGCGACAATCAAATGAAATGGGGTTTAACGTCTTACTGTTCTGCTTCGACTGGCATACGTCATACAGTGTGCTATAACTATTAAAGACATTTTTTCCGGACAACAGTGTTACGGCCTACTTTTATATCGAATTCCAACTGAGATCTTTTATCACGACAATGTGTACATGGTACCTCGGTTTGTCATCCCGTACGAACGACTAGACACCTGGTCCTTGTCAGACCCTCCATACATCCTGCACCACTGACAATTGTAATCTTGTTTGAACAATCCCTATGAACTTTCTCGACCTGCCGACTAGCGATCGAGCCAGCATCTTTCTAACTTAGCCACCACCATGACTTCATTTCTTACGCGAAGAAGATCTTATACCTAAACACTGCATTAAATTACATTCACATTAAAGCATTTGGATGTGTTTAAGCCTTGTACCCTTATAGGGGTTGGATGGCCGAATGGTTAGCACGCGCGCGCTGTATAATGCGGTCTGTCATTGAGTCAACTGGCGGGGTTTCGATTCCCCGGTTGTACGTGGCAGGGGTAAGGTCGCCTTGTCAACCTCGTGGGTTTTCTCCGGATCCTCCGGTTTCCCCCCACTGCTAAAGACCACTACGCGCAAGCGAATTATTGAAATAAAATTGAACCATGTGTTAGTCCCGAAATCTCTCTCTCTCTCTCTCTCTCTCTCTCTCTGTATCCTTATAATTCAGAATAATAATAATCACTAGAACCTGGCAGACCAAGAAATCAAATACCTTTTCTTCGATTTGAAATAAAGAGAACGACTGAGCATAACAGGATTTTTAATTCGTGGTCAATCAATTGATGAGATGGTGCCCGGTTTACTCAAGTTCAATTTATATTCCACGATATAGTAATTAATAATATATATTATATATGACATCAAAAAAAACAGAAGTGGCTATAATGGGTTTCAATACAACACTTCAAGGTAGATAACCCCGTTTCTTCTAAACTAACACAACCATATTAACAAATTCGAGCCTTTTCTCAAATATACGCCATCTACCACAAATACATTGAAAGCATGTAGAGGGTTCATCATGGGAATCTTGAGCTATACAAACTGACAGTAGCATATAATCTAGTACTATCCTCCGCTACATTTCAACGCACCCAACCTCTTAACTTTGTTATTTTGAACATCAAAATCGTGAATATTTACCACAACCTGGCAGAAAATTTCAATTCAAAACCTTTCTACGATGACCAAAATGTCAACATAAATCGCCATGTAAAGGAGCTTTTACGGGAAAAGGAGATATTAACGACTATTATCGAAGAAACCACAACTACAGCAAATGTTTGGTGGTTAGAGTCCTATATATTGACGTTGGGAGATAAAGTTATAACTAATTGAGAGTTGGGGTGGGGGTGGGGATCGGGAGAAGGGTGTCATCACTCCGTAATTACACAAAGTTTAACATTACCATTTAAACACTATAAACAGCTAGGACGTGTGTGGTGGGGTGAACGCGTAGTGCGTACTGAGTGTGTAGTTACCTTCGCACTTGATGTGGGTTTACCGCATTTCCCCTCACCAAGCTTCAAGATACATTAAATTAGTTAAGAGTTCAATAAAGAGGTGGTCATTCGTGCTATAATATTTCAGAAATAGATGATAAATAAGAAAATGTTGAAAATTTCATTCAAATTACGTCATTCTGAGCCAAGTTATCAATGTTTGTAGTTTTGGCAAGATGATAATTGTGTGCATAGTGGTAACCGGGGCACTGGTATATTCGAGACTTAGCCTCGCCTTCCCAATTTAAAATTAAATTTTCAAATGGCTAATCGTTTTAATCTAGTTAAAATCTCGAGTATCCGATGCCATCGAGAGTTGATTATGGTCTTTTGTTAATAAATGTCTAATTAATAGACATTTCAGGCCTAAATAATGAACTTCAATAGGCAGATTTAGCTCTTGCATAATGCATGTTTAAAGGGACAATAACACTCTTGCTGGCTTGACAGCTCCAGAAAATAAAAAATAGCCTTATTCTAAGTACTAGATGTGTTAGTGTTGTGTAAATTATCTATAAATCCTATTTTACTTGTCCAGAGGGTTCAAAAATATTTTTAAATCCAAGTCACATTTGAAAAGTTTTACGTCAGGCTTTTCAAATCATTTAGTTGAATTTTTCCAATTTTTTAAATTAGGTGTGTTAAGATGAAATTTGTATCATCAATTAATTGGAATATTGTAAAATAGTGCAATTTGTTGACCAGAATAAAGATTGGGACATATTATTCAGTTACAACAAGAGTGGTATTGAGCCTTTAAACAGGTCAGTTTCAGACCCATTTTACCGCATCTTTTGCAGTTTCCAGTTTATAGAAGTGTTTTAAAGAATCAATCTTTTTCCTTTAAACATACATTATGCAAGAGCTAAATCTGTCTATTGTAGGTCTTTCTTTAGACCCGAAATGTTATCTAAATTATTAATTAGACAGTAATTAACCTATCCAGACCATAAACAACTCTAGATGACATCGCTAGCCTGCGAACTTTAGTGGATTGTGAGCCGATTTACTGCATAACTTTCCTTCGCGATATAACGATTAAATGGATAATCGAGACTATGCTGTTTATCGTACTGTTCTCGGTTGATAGTGGATCAATTTGAATGAAATTTTCAGCAAATTGCCTTTACATTATCTAGTTTTTAACTATTATAGCGAGAACTGCCAACTCGTTATTGAATTTCCCATAATGCATCTTCAATAAACGGTTTTCATCCGTCTATAAATTAACACTACAAACATGGCTGTGCAGTGATAATTGAAAGCCGACAACTGTGGGTTAGGTAAAACTCGAACTACCGACCGGTCTGTATTTGTTAATGAAGAAAATCACCAAAATATGAAATTACCATTGGATCTTGTGATCTGATCCGGTTTTAGAGACACAGACGAGTTTAGAATGTGGGAGTGTCTAAGATTAGGTTAGCTTTTGTGTCGGTAGTCTGCTCACACTTTAGTAGAATGTGAGTCGCGACACAATTTTTTGTATTTCTTTATGATACTGTTAGAGACAATAGACACATATATGATCCTCAAATTGATCTAGGTTTAGTTCAGAGCGACTGGCATTGACTTGATATAACCCCTCAGCTTATCAATAACTTTGTAGTCACGTTCTGGAAGGATCTTGAAATATTTTTGTCAATAGAATAATGTTGTCCGTTGTTACATATATATAGGTTAAAAAGATAAAATTTTGATAACATTTTATTAAACTTCTGGATCAGTAATATCATTGATACCACTGTCAGCTGTCAAGGTAAGGACTCTATGTCATATGTTGTCTGTTGTATTTTTAAACTGAGATCGAAATAAATAATATAAAATTGAAATATTGGTTTTGATTATGCTTTCAAATATCAATTATGTGAACTATTTTATTAGCTATCTGAACTTTCCAGATATGTGTTCAGAGTAAGACAACCGTTTTCGGGCATGACACTCTACACTAGTTTGCATAATGTCAAGAGAAATATATCAGTGCCATACACACTAAGCCACCATAGAGCAACAAGACAAGAAGCGATAATCAAAAATTTAATTGTAAATTTAATTTTATTGTAGATGCTGTCTATGGTGATGGGTCTCCTTTGTTTGGGAGGAGTGATGTCATACCCGTCTGATAATTTGATACAGGGAAAGTTCCCCTCTGACTTTAGGTTTGGCATATCGACATCAGCTTACCAAATAGAAGGAGCCTGGAATGTTGACGGTAGGTTTCTTGTTTCTGGTCTATGGAATACGAAAAGCAAACGGGGTTCCTTGGGCAAATAAAAGATGGAGCTATTGAATTAGTGTTTCATACTTGTTTTCTGCTACAAACACGTGGATAATGCACGGATTTAGTGAAAATAGTGTTACTAATTTAAAATTGTTTTATATACACCCATTTTGCTACAATGTTACAAACAGAATACAATAAGTTCGACCGTCTTTTGCCGGTATATTTGCGGGGCGGAGGGGAGGGGGCGGGGTATTATTTGTTGAGTTTTCTTTTTTTTTCTTTTTTGACTGCTAATAGACCGTGTATTACTTTGAGTTCGTTTGTTTCATTGCAAACTTTTTTGTCAAAAAAATCTTTAAATTATAAAATATTGTCCTTTAGAATGGAGATAAATATTGTTTAGAAGCACAATAAACATTGTTTATTGCAGGCAAAGGGATGAGTATCTGGGATAACTTTACCCACATCCCGGGTAATACTAAAGATGGCGCTACTGGTGATATTGCAGACGACAGTTACTACAAATACCCACAGGATATCCAAATCTTGAAGGAATTGGGAGTAATTGTAGTTTTTATTTTAGTAAACAAATTAAATGGATTAGTTTGGCAGTAAACATAAAGTTGGAGATATTTTCACGGGCCCCACCAATGACATGAATACATATATGCACCATGGATTATGTTAAAGAACTCGACATAGTAATTATGAATAGATCACAACACTGTAGCACAATTTAAAATTATTTTACGCTCACCACTCATGAGTGGCTATGTAGCCGTTTAGGATAAGGCCGATTTACTGCCCCTGTCATCCACACCCTTTAAACACTCTACATGTCAGAGTTCTCGCGCTTAACATTTTGGCAGTAAAAAATTGTATTCAATGTCAATTGCATCTATGGAAATACTTCGGGAATGAATATTACTCTTCTACTCGCCGCACAATGTATGGATAATGTAGTTTAAGACAAATGGTTACAGGTGCTGCGGTTAAAAGCATGCAGCGGAACAGCATTTACAAGTATTTTCATGTATGGATAATGTAGTTTAGGACAAATGGTTACAGGTGCTGACGTTAAAAGCATGTAGCGGAACAGCATTTTCAAGTATATTAAAGAAGTGAACACTTGCTCGAATGCGTTTTATCGTTTGCAATCTTTCTTTATACTTCCAGATCAAAAACTTCCGGTTTTCTATCTCCTGGCCCAGAATTCTCCCAGATGGCACATTAGACAACATTAACCAGGCGGGAATAGATCACTACAATCGGGTTATTAATGATCTCCTAGCCAATAACATCACTCCGTTTGTTGTGCTCTATCATTGGGACCTTCCACAAAAACTCCAAGACAACGGCGGTTGGTTAAACGAAACGATCAGACAGAGATTCGCCAATTATTCTGACCTCTGCTTTCAACTTTTTGGAGACCGGGTGTGTATAGAATATTTATTTAATTTTCTGACTTACTTTCTACATGCATTCAATGGGATAACTAATTGAACAAAATAGATTGATATTAGATCGTTAGACGTGGTCAAATATTATTCACGCAATGGGAGCCCAGAGCTACCCAGTCCGTCCTTGTCATTATGTTGGACAGTGATACAGTTAAGGTTCAGGTATGTGATTATGGCGCATATCAGACTGTGGGACTGTCAGAAAATATCAGAGAGAGTAGAACGGTGTGGGGGGCGGGTAACGTCCACTAGACACATTATAGGTCAATTTGGGACTAGCATATGGTTCAGATTTTATTTAATAAATTGACTTGCGCGAAGGCTCTTTTGTAGTGTGTAAGGGACCCGGAGAAAACCCATACGGTTGGTCAGACGATCCTACTCTTTGTCACGTACAAGCGTTGGCCCTAGACCACACCATTTGACTCAAGGACAGACCTAATACATCTCAATGGGTGTAAATATTCGAGGATAATTTATTTTGATTATGAAAATATTTTTTCTTCACAGGTTGATCATTGGATTACGTTTATAGAACCATTTAGTATTTCATGGATTGGATACGAAGTCGGTACTTTTGCACCAGGCGTTAAAAATAATACGGCTGTTTATGTTGCTGCCCATAATATAATTTTATCACATGCACAAGTTTACCATAACTACAGAGCAAAGTACGCTAACGGTCGAGGTACGTATTACATGCACATGTTTACCATAACAACAGAGCAAAGTACGCTAAAGATCGAGGTACTATGACATGTATAAGTTTACAATAACTACAGAGCCTAGTACGTTAATAGCCGAGGTACCTCTAGTCCTATATCGAATTACTTACAAGACTCCGTTGTTTGGTAAGTATCCAATTCAGAATTCCCTTATTTCCATACAACCATTTTTGTTCAACCACATTATAGGTTGCATTCATATAATAAGAATCAAATACAGGGCTTCAAATCTTGGAAGTTGAAAATATATTGGGGTAGATCTAAAAAATTGATCCCAGTTCGGATTCACCAGGATTTGCGTCAATCAAACATACTCTAAATAACTAAATGCTAACATACTGATGTTGCAAAGTGACCACAAAGTAATATCAACTGACAGAAAAAGATTTGCTCCCCACCCACCTGTGCAAGGAATATGCACAAAATAGCGTTTCCAACTTTACCGCTGCATAGCCAGTGTAGACCATTGGGAGTCGGATCGGGGTGCTCTTTGGGGTGGATATCAGTCCTATCGACATATATTTAGGTATCCTGGAGTTTCATGGGTCCCCCGTGGTCTGCAAACTTAACTTCTTCCCTTTCTTTGGGCCTGTAAACTGCTACTATGGATGTCTTGCTGTTACACAGTGTCTGGCAGATTATAGTCAATATAGCTATGGTGGTACTTTCAGGAAAGATTGGTATTTCTTTGGACATCATTTGGCAATATCCAAAAACAAACACAACTGAGAATATTGCTGCCGCTGCCAGAGTTATGGATTTTAGATTTGGGTGGATTGCGAATCCTCTAGTGTATGGAGATTATCCTGCCGTAATGCGACAACAGGTTGACAAGAAGAGTAAGCTCCAGGGATTACCACGATCAAGATTACCAACTTTTACACCAGCTCAAAGTCAGTATATAAAAGGTAAGCTTAGTGGCCGTTATTACAATCATTACAATGTAAAATACAGCTTAACAGGGTGTTCGGATACAGACCATTGTAGTAGCATCCATCTAAGGTCTTGTGCGTGTACGTTTGCTAAAATATTTTGAAACGAATGTGGTGGGTGTGGTACGAAATAATTAGATAAGCATGGAATTAGATACACTTTACTTTTCCGACGTCCAAATAGATTATGCTCATCCTCCGTCATATGATACATATCTACGATGATATTATTTCCAGGTGCATTTGATTTTCTGGGTATCAACCAATATACAACACAATTAGTTGAATACAAACATTTAACTGATACAGTACCAGGTTACTATAACGATCAGGATGCTGTCTTTTCTGTCGATCCATCGTGGCCAAGGTAACAAAAGTTTTCTTTACAGAAGAAATATCAATAAATTTGTCATCCAAATGTATCCAATACAAAACGTTTGAATACAAAGTACAGTAAACGGTTATTGGGGCGTTGTATCATTTTCGAAGGTTAAACGCATGCTAAAGGATCATTTAAGAAACGGTCCAGTAGGTGTATTATTAGTGTAAGAGATCAGACATGAAACGATGCAATGAATGCAGACATTCCATCTTTCTAAGATAAATAACATGGCGCCGTTATTAATGTTAAATTTTCGATGTTCTAACTCATAATGTCAAGACCGGTCGCATTAAGTCTTTTTTGTAAATTATTTATTTTTTTTTTTTTTTTTTGGTGTGTACAGCACATTGTACGCTAATAGCTAGCCCTGGGATCCATTCATTTGATCTGATATGTGCGTTTGTTGTTTGTGGTATATTGTGTAATTGTTTCATATAATTGTGTGTGTTTGGTGCGGCCCCACTGCAGAATTCATCTAACTATTCAACATTTCTTCTGTAGAGGTAAACCTGACAGTCAATTCCCCACCGTACCCTGGGGTATGAGGTATGTATTAGAACATGTACGAGACACGTATAACAACCCAGAAGTTTATATAACAGAGAATGGCTATGTTGATTGTGGTACCATGCAAGATCAGGGTCGTGTGGATTATATCAAGGCTTACAGTAATAATGTACTACAGGGTAAGGGTTCGTCAAGTGCCAAACAAAAATCTTAATCCATTTGAACGAGATAAATAATTCGTTCGAAAGAGATACTATATGTTCAAATGAGAAGCTAACTCGTTTAAACGATAAACTAACTCGTTTAAACGATAAACTAACTTGTTTAAACGAGAAACTAACTCGTTTAAACGAGAAACTAACTCGTTTAAACGAGAAACTAACCCATTCATACGGATTAAGATTTTATTTTTGTTTGGCACCAATGGGCCTTCGTAGTCATGCAATAATGTTGATTTGACTATAAAGAATAATGTGTTGCAGATAATAAATGTTCTATGTCTTCTTTATTTATCACCAACAGATATACGGGATATGGCCAATTAAATTAATAAAATCACGGCATGCGTCTTTATCATAATAATTTTAATTTCAGTTCCCAATGGACCATATTGTACATTTCCACCCATTAGCTAAATTCTATTCTTATCCACATGAGATACAAATGACCCGAATTTATTCTCCGGGTCGTCAATAGACGTCCTCGTTTTTGCTTGCCTTGGGTTTTTTTTTCGACAGATTAGATAGCAAACTAACATTTGACACCAGTTTTTGACATTATAATTTAAATTGACGTTGCTGACGTCAGCAAAGGTGATCTTCGTAGTAAACATGCTGTGGATCATATCAAAGGTCTTGCAGCAACCAACTCATTGTCACCCTTTTTTTCTTTGTTTTAACAGCTATTAACAGTGGTTGTAATGTCAAGGGTTATTTTATTTGGACTCTACTCGACGATTTTGAATGGGTTACATATGACGATAAATTTGGGCTGTATTTGATTGATTATAAAAGTGACGAACGTACCCGATTTGCCCGACCATCTGCTTATTTTTACGCCAAACTCATCAATACCAATGGTTTTGATAGTGATGTCTTGAACTTCAGAGCATGTAAGTTTGTCGGTTGAATGTTATTTTACAGTGCACCTTTTATACATCAAATAGCTGCCTTCGCCCTTCAAAGCCCCACACGCGAGTCGAAGTCACACGATGTTGCGGTACCTTTAATCAAGACGAAGTTGACCCTAGTCTGAGCCCTGCATAAATCTTGGTAACTTGATAAACTAAAACTAATCTATCAACGGGACCGATTAGACCTGCAATAAACGTATAAATGGCCAAGATAATTCAATTTAAAAGTCAACACCGTAAAGCAATATATTTCTATTTACATAAATTGTCTTAATTCATGGTAATTGCCTCCCTTAGATGAATTAAACATGGGTATTTTGAATAATTTCCCTATTGACCATTTTCTCTATTGGGCTATTTTCTAATCGGTGTATTAAAAAATTACATCCTGAAATACATGAACATATATTTAATCACCAGTAATAATAATTTTAAAACATTTGATAATTCAAAAGTGCTAATTCATTTCATGACAAGATTGTTGTGTATTAGGCTAGGACAAGTGTCTTTTTTGTTTCTTTTTAACTTAGATCCTAAAGACAGAGATGAGTTTGTTTATGGAACATTCCCAAAGGGCTTCCAATGGGGTATGGCGACAGCAGCTTATCAGATTGAAGGGGCTTGGAACGCAGATGGTATGCACAACTTGTTTTTTCATTTTTTTAAACAGTATAATCTAACCTAGACTATGGTAATATCTGACATATATATTGAATACTGAAACAATTTGTATTACAACCACTGGATTAAGCTATACATCAGGGGTTATTTTATATCCATTGACTTCTGTGTCCGAAATCCATGTCCAAACTTGCTTAATAACTGTAAGTAATGGCAGCTGCCATGCACGAGACAATGCTAAATTTTTGTTGATGAATTTCTATATTATAAACCTACCCAGCTCAAAACTGTCGCATGGTATACTGATAAATTGTGACGGTTGTCGTACACGAGCCTTGGTACTTTTTTTTTTCATTTGGGGACCTGGGGAGTCCCTGTCGTATCTTAAACCTATAGTAGATTCGGTTTCTGAACTATGTATTTAGCTATAGGTAGTGACGATTGCTACCACTTTCTGGAACACCCAATTCCACTTCTCTCTCGAGGTGTTCAATTGTCAACAAAACTTCAATGTACTTTTTGTATTGTAGATAATAATTATCTCGAGATAAATAGATCGTTATTTCTGTGTTTCAGGTAAAGGGCCGAGTATTTGGGATGTTTTTGTTCATACACCAGGTAATATTCACGACAACGAAACAGCCGACGTAACTTGTAACAGCTACTATAACTATAAAGAGGACGTACAGATGTTAAAAACAATTGGGGTATGTCATATTTATTCTTTAAACAGTTGGGGTATGCCATTTTCATTCTTTAAATAGTCATGTTGGAGTGTGTCATGTTCATTCATAAATAGTTGAGATGTGTTCATTCTTTAAACTGTTGGGGTACGCCATGGTTATTCTTTAAACCATTTGGCTACGTCATATTCATTCTTTAAACCGTTAGGGTACGGTATGGTCAATTTTTATACCGTTTGGGTACGCCGTGTCCTTTCGTTAAACCTTTGGGGTATGCCATGTTCATTCTTTACAGCAAAGTTCCGAAGACAGTCTAGCAGTCAAGATCAATGGAGAATTTGACAATATCTATCTAATTAAAACGTTTAAACTTCGTAATCATGGGCTACACAGCTATAAGTTGTAATAAGAAGTTCATTGGCCTGTAGTTCAGAATGCATAAGGGAAACAACCAGCAGTGGTTTTTCGGTTGGTGCGAATATCAACGTCTGATCCATACGGCATTGACTGGAGCCTAGCTACAACTATAAGCGGTGAAAAAGAATTAAAAAGAGTGAGATAGTACCCAGTAACATTGGTGGCATAAAATAGTTATTTCTATTATGAAGTTATTTTAGTGTTGAACCTCAAAACATCTCGCATGTCTCCTCACTACCGATTACGCATAATCCATTTGTATCTTCTAATTTAGGACATGCTTTCTTTTCTTTTAGGTGCAGAATTACCGATTTTCTATTTCATGGAGTCGAATAATGCCGGATGGAACTCCGTCAT